GGAAGGAAGGAAGGAAGGAAGGAAGGAAGGAAGGAAGGAAGGAAGGAAGGAAGGAAAGCAAAAGCATTTCTATATTAGATAAGCAGTAAAAATAAAGGGACTCTTACTTTTAGCAAATATGTCGACTGGTGATCCATCAGGCAAAAGCCACGGCCAACCTTTGAACTGCCATGCAGGACCTTGCACAAAAACTGCTACAACCCGGTCCCTATAAATAGAAAAGAAGGAAGGGAAGAGTGGAGGCTGAGTATCTCAAATATTCTTGGTTACTATAATCCTTATGGAAAGAGTCTCATCATTATTCCTGCAATAGTCTCCTGTCAATACTTCTGTGAGGCAAACACAGTACTGCATTACCATAACTTTTCATTATAATGTTACCATTAGGGTACATAATGATTGCTACATTTCCCATGTGTTGTTTTTTACACCTAAGTCATTTAAACATAATTACATGCACAGTCTTATACGTGATCCTTTTAGCCGTTTATCTCTGCCCCTTCTATTAATTAAAGGGCCCATTTTGCTTATGCAACAGGGAACAGTAGTATTATCTGTTAATTGAAAAAGTTAGTTTTAAAAGAAAATCATTTAAAATTCAAACGCATCTTAAATATTTCACTTTAATTAAAAATTATAAATTATAATAATTTGCTAACCATTTTATAAAGCTCAAAGGCCTTATTTTGAGTTCTTCTGATTATCTGGAAAATAATCTGAGTACAGAAATCACCTAAACTTTTAAACGTTTTCAATTGTTTTACAGCTGTTTCACTCACCCTAAATTCTCTAAGTTTTTTCTAAAGCAACTTGTTTTTCCCAGCCATTCAACTTCATTTTCCTAAAAAGCACAAATCTCTTTCTAGGCCCTCATATTTCATTAGCTTCCAGAAAATTTAATTAAACTGAGAAATTATAATAAGTACGAAAGCCATACACAGTATAAGCCTACAACTAAAGAGGTGGGAACAAAATCATAACATCAACAATAATAACTAACACTCATTAGTTTTACTACGAGCATTTACTATGTGCCAGTGCTGGTCTAAGCAGTTTACTTATGTTAACACATTTAACCTTCAAAACAACCCTGTGAGGTAAACTATTATTACCCCTATTTTACAGAAATGCACAAGCATACTAGAGAACAGTCCACTAGCCAGAAGAGAGAGGAGGGAGGGGAGGAGTGTGAGAAGAGAGCAGAGTGGGAGAGAGGGAGGGAAATCAATGATTGATCTTGTGCACTGGTTATGCTATTGTCCTGTATGGGGGCTAAGAAATCACATGAATAGCCAACTCAGTGTTACAATGGAAACAGTTCTGACCTTACAACTCCCTGAAAGGGTCCTGGGAATGCTCAGAGGTCCACAGACCACACTTTGGTAATCACTGCATTAGATGGAGACTCTGTACATCCAACAGAATATTAAGCCAAAGTTACCTTCTATTCAAGTTAAAGACTTACAGCAGTGATCAAAGTTACTAAGAAAAACCACAGCTTAAAATTCTTAACCTGCTCAAAATCTCTAAGGCTAAAATTAAACCTTAAATTAAAAAGTTCCTCCTTCATGGGATATAAGCTCCATACTGCCTAAACCATCTTTGGTAATGGAGCACACTATTAAATGGCCTCTTAATTTTATGATGTAACTTGCACCATACAATAGTTGAAGGTCCAAGGTACCTGCCAAAGTAAAGAGGATTTGCTAGACAGAGGTCCCCTAGATCCTAGTACGTCTCACAGGGTTAGCAGGTGAGCTGGATAATAAAAATACTATTCCCAGTGAACTCCTGAGAGGACAATTAACAGAGAACAGAAGAAAGGTAAGGAAAATGTTATCCCTAGGTTATGACACCAATGGCTAGGACCTCATATATAACTCAAAGTATTTCTGTTAGGTACTAAAGGAGAATTCTAATACAAGAACCCTTGATTCTTTAGTAAATTTTTAACATACTAATATTCTCAATGGCTTGACTTCCTAACATCTGAAGACTAATAAGTACTTCAAAGGTAAATTTCAGCTAATGCATCAATGTGTTACACTCTCTATATCAGAGAAATGCACACTTAGACTTTGTATTTTTACTCTGGCTTAGATTAATTAAACAATTTAAGGTAATTCATGTATCTAAATTTATACGCACTTTATATTACAAAGATTGGGTTGGCCAAAAAGTTCGTTTGGGTTTTCCGTAACATCTTACAGGAAAACACGAACGAAATTTTTGGCCAAACCAATAGCTTAATATTTTATTAAAGGACATTTTAATGCAATAAAAGAGCTGAACTGGGGTGATGTTATTATTTTTGTTAAATTATTTCCTTACAATAAAAGTAACAATGCTTTCTTTCACTTATCACTTCTTACTAAAAAATTTGAATTCTCCAAATCAAAAATCTAAAACATAGGCCCTCTAAAACAACATTAGTCTATTTGAAAATTTTGTTCTAAAAGCTGATCCAGAATAAATGGACAAGTGGAAAGAATTTTTACTCTCCAAGTTTTCCAGAAGTTTCTTCTTATAAGTAAAATAAAGTTTAGACATCCAAAATATATTCCTTAGGTATTACTAGAATGTTAACATTACTGATGACCAAATTAGACATTTTAACACAGGTTTCAAGGATAGGTTCTATCTAGAACTCATGATAAAATTTGATACTTGTTCATTACACAAAAAATTAACGACTATGTGAAAAATACAGATTAATTTACCAGTCTTGAGGCATTAGTTTAAGGGGCTGGTCTACTACTCTGTAAGGAACTGTGACACTAATTGCAGTGCCCCCTGGTTGCATCTGGTCTTTTCTTCTCTGTATTAGAGTTTCATTTTCTCGTTGGCAGCCTTGTTTCTTCTTTTCATCTGATGGGACAAACCTTTCAAAAAACAGAAATGATTCCACAGGAATCGTTAAAGAGAAAAGAAATCGTATTTTGAAATGATTTTTTAAATAATGATAGTTTTAAACCAAAAACATTATTTTTTGATATAAACCCACTCTGCATGTACAGATCATAATGCTTGAAGAGTATGGGTCTTTAATTCCCATGCCAAGTAGAACTCAAGCTCACTTAGGCCAGAAGTCAGTATGTGTGTGTGTCAGTCTCACACACAGACACCCAATTTATATTCCTTCATCTAGCATTTAGTATTCCTCAAGATTATATAAACAACCACACTAATCCTTGATTTCTCAAATGCTAGTAAGAGGGAAATTTTACTATAACTCAAAGGTCACTTGAAATGGAGCTGACGTGGCTAGCTAGGTGACTCAGTCTACCCAGGAGCGTCAGCAAACACCCCTTTCCACATGGTAGCCACCACTCCCATCAGGATACAGAACATGTGCAACAGACCAGAAAAGTTTCCTCCTGTACCTTTCAGTAAATCCCCATCCTCCTCCCCCAACAGGAAACCATACAATTCTGCTTTCCATCACCACAGACGAGTTTTGCCTGTCCTACGAATTCATATATGCGGAATCGTACAGAACTGTACTCTTCTTTGCCCAGCTTCTTTCATTCAATTTAATGTTTCTGATATTCATCCATGCTGAGGGGTATATTGGTAGTGAACTACCAATGAATTCCTTTTTACTGCTGAATAAGATTCTATTGTATGAATATGCCACAATTTTATACATTCTCCTGTGGTACATTTGGGTGGTTCCAAAATTGCGGTTATTACAAATAAAACTACTATAAATACTCTGGTATAAGTCTTTTTGTGGACGTATGTTTTCACTTCTCTTATATAAATACCTATGAGTGGAACTGTTCGATCACTGGGTATGTTTAACTTTAAAAGAAACTGTCAGAAAGTTTTCCAAAGTGGGATAAAGTATGAAGAACATTCTAAAGGCATCTCTGAGCTAGCTAGCAAGAAGTAAAGAACTCTTGGGCCAAAGACTGAGTAAAGTAGGGAACTCAAAGAGGTTAGAATAACACTGCAGACTTCTTTCCATCCACGGAAGGCACTGGCAAACTAATTCAACTTAAGCTTTGTCTTTTATTGACACTATATTTCACTAGACTCCTGGAAGAGGAAACAAGGCCCATATTCTGCTCAAGGTAGAGAATCTAACAGAAGTTCCTTCTTTCATAAAGCTAGGACTCTGGGGGTTAAGTTCAGTATAATATAAATAATGTAAACTAGAAATAAACCCACTGCCCACCCATTTTCCTGCCCCCCATGTCCACCCCAGCCCTAACCAACACCCTGACAAGTGCAAGAATAATCAAATCTCGGAATTGCAAATTGGACCTCACTTGGAGTTAAAGCAAGAGTTAACAACCCTGACCACAGTGACTGGTTCGGAAATAAATGTGTTATACAAGCCAGGCAGATAAGACTTAATCCTGGCATTTTTGGTAACCTGGAGTTTCTGATGGTCATCTTTGCCCCTGAAGCAGGAGAACCTGCTTAAGAGACAGAGAGACTAACTCCTGATCACTTCATTTAGCACTGAGTCCAGCTGTGTCAGAAGCTAGGACTAGTTATATTGAGCTAATAAATTATTTTTTTTTGATAAGGCTACTTTGAGTTGGTTTTTAATACTCAGAACAAAAAGTGCTCTGATGAATACAACCAGCAATGATACACAACTGATTGGATGGATATTTGTGATCTGGAGAAATATTTTGATATCCACTGACTCATCCAATATTTGCAATTTACTTATTCCACTTTGCATTCTATGAGGGTGAAGGAGTATGGGTGATATGATTAAAGTCATTACTGTTTAAACAAGAACAGTTCTAGTAAAATAATTTTCTTAGTATAAAATGCAAATGAGTTGATATACCAAGGTTAAGTTCCAGATTTTAAGTTTACGTTATTTTGAAAAACAGAACAATTTTATGGATATGTCACAGATTAAAAATATAGTTTTCGGGAATTCCCTGGTGGTCCAGTGGTGGTTAAGACTTCACCTTCCAATGCAGGGGTTGCAGGTTTGATCCCTGGTTGGAGAGTTAAGATCCCACATGCCTCAGGGCCAAAAAACCAAAACATAAAACAGAAGCAATACTGTAACAAATTCAATAAAGCCTTTAAAAATGGTCCGTATCAAAAAAAAAAATCTTAAAAAAAATATAGTTCCTTTCTGCTAAATAAAAGAAGTTGAAATTGGGGAATTCACAATAATTTCTGAATGTTAAACCTCAAACTGAGAATTTAACTTAAAGCAATGTTAGATTGGCTATGCTCCCAGGTGCTTAGCAGACACAAACGCAAATCTTCATTCTGGAACTCAAAGAATTTCCACAAGAAGAAAATTCCAAGGAAAATGAACAGAAATTACTAAATGAAAACTATTAAATGAATAGTGTAAAAAACCCAAAACTAAACACACAAGGAAATGAGGTATAATGAATGAAACAATAATCAAAAGAAAATGATTAGTAAGGACTTCCAGTGATGCAGCTACCAAAGACCAAACCTGTAAAACAAGCCTACAAATATGTACAGGGAAAAAGAAATTATTTTAAAAAAAGAGAGAGAGACCAAAGATTTGAAAAAGAACTAAACAGGACCACTAAAATAGAAAAAATAAGATATCTGAATTTTAAAATGGAATGACTAGACTAGGGGACGGCCAAAGAAACAAACTACAAGTTATACCTACAGAAATGATCAAGAATGCAGGTGACAGAGTAACAGATGGAAAGTAGAACTGTTTAAGAGACATGGATGATGAAATGAGAAAGTCTTAAAGTATGTCTCATTTAAATCCCAGAAAGAAAGAAAAAGGGGGAGATGAAGGGAGAACACACAGGTAATATCTAAAGAGATAAGAGCCAAGACTTCCCAAACTGATGAAAAACACAAATCCATAGATTCAATTCTGAATCCCAAAGTGGGATATATAAGAAATCTACACCTAGGTACAGCAGATAAATTTAAAATGATCTTTAAAATAATAAGATAAAGCAGATTTCTTTCAAAGGACTGATTACCACAGCTGACCTCTTCATCATCAACAAAGGAAGCTAGAACGTAGTGCAATAATACCTTCAATGTAATAAGAAAAAAATTAACTCCTCTATGGTTTTCCAGAGTGGTTGAATCATTCTGCACTGCATGTGGCAGCAGGGAACACGAACTATTTATGGTCCAGTGTAATCTCCAGTAACCGTTCTGCCTGCTCTTCCCCAGGCCTTAAGTGTGTGTGTGCTGAACAGTACTTGACTAATGCAAGGGGAACCCTCTGCCTATCTCTGGAGCACTCTCTCCGTGCAATCTTTCCTCTTTGGAACTCTGCCCTGTGAGAGGACCATCGTGGCCAGAGTCACAAGTGCCATCCAATCAGTTTATTTTAAATAAACTTATGGTCCCAGTGAAACTTCTCTCAAGATCATGTTTTAAAATGTAAAATGTGCTTTTTCATATTTCCATGATACAACCTTAATTTTGTTATTTAAAATGTTAAAGGTGAAGGCAGGTTTTATTTTATTTCGTTTCATTTACTTAATTGAAGGGCTAGAAAACTGAAGAATCCTCAATTTTACATGAAACCAAACAGAATCTATGCCAACATGAGCTATGGGTTACAGCCAGTACTATAATTGTGTGGAGGAGGTTTCAATTATGCATTAATTACATAGCAAAGCCTCCAGCTGACTCAAGCTGCAGGGGAGATGTCAGCTGCAATGAGGTGTTAAACAATGAAGGGAGTGTTTTAAACTGAGGAGAAAAATTAGGCATGGTCTATCCAAAGAAGGTAGTCTTGTTAAATTGTTTGGCTTCTCTGTAGTAAGGCTAAGGAGAAAGATGCTAAAATTTAGTTTGTGATTTCCATGCACTACTTGCTATCTTTATTATAAAATAATATTTTATATTATTATCAGATCTATTTAAAGAGATGGGCCAAAATAATTATATTTCATATTCATCCAACTGTAGATTACTTGAGGAACTGCAGACTGTAGATTATCTGAGTAATCCACAACACTGTCGGAATACTAAACTTCACAAAAAAAGCCTAATAAAATATAAAAATATAAAACCTAAAAATTCCTTCTTTCCACATTGTTATTAGGGAAAGGTTCACTGAAAATTTCACTCAAAAGTACTAAAGAAAAAACACTATACGAATACACTTGTATGTGCCAGTTACGTAGGTTTTTATACAGCTATTTAAATCACAGGCACTCAAAATTCAATTCTGCATTTGGTAAAACCTGGAATCAGCAAGTATTACAACTTATTTTGCTACTCATTTTTAATTAGTCATAAGTTATTTAGAAGCAGCATGATTTTCTTTTTGGAGGTGAGGTTGTTTTGTTTCTTTTTTAAGAATCGTCATCGTTATTTTCCTGAGAAAGTTAAGCATCTGGAAATTTTAACACAGGATATAGATTTCCTCTTCACTTCTTCAACTATCTTTTACTGATGTCTAGGTTAAAAAAGTATGGTCCCTCCTCCTCCCTCTAGGAGGTATATACATCTAATTATTTAAAGTTCATATTACTTTTTTGGTTCTTTAAGCAGAATTTGGAAATGAGGAGAAGACAACCTGAATTTGTTTTAGAACCTCTTCAAGCTCTTCAGCTGGAGCAAAATAATTCATGTTAAAAATTAATACAATAATACCTTCTTCGTTAAAACTTTAGTCAGAGTTTCTATAATTTTCCCCACAGTATTCAGATATAAAAGAATATACTGTTTTGAAATTTATATTTGAGACTATCTGTAAAGCCTATAGCACTGAAACTGAATTTTTGCTTTCTCAAAATAAGGACTGCATTAGTAACACTAATTCTCAACAATAGTTCCATGTCCTATGAAAAGAACAGTTTAAGAAATTACTTACTTCAGGTCCTGTAGAAGGTCCTTTGCATTAAGCATGGTTATTAAAGAGGTGGTAGCTGCAGGAATTATGATAATGGGTGTTCGAGATCCTATAAGGACAAAATTTTAAAGGAGCAAATATGTTATTCAAAGGAATTATAGTTACTTTCCTAATTATAAGTTAGAAGTTTGTAAATTTGTAATTTTAACTCTTTTGAGCTAAAAAATATTTTAGTCAGCAGTGATACTCAGAATATTTAATGATCAGGACGACTTGAGCACTGACTACTCAGAACAGACACCAAACACAAACATTTGGTATAACTGCACAAGCATGCAATCAGCCCTGATTTTGTAAGCTAGCTTACTCACGTTTACTTTTTTAAAGTAAGTTTAGAGTCACAGGCACAACCTTACCTTTCTTCTGATTTGGGGGAGGTCTGGCTTGAGAAACTGTAAGAAAGAAAAAAATTCAAAATGTTGTTATGAAAATCACATTCTTATTTTCAAACCTACAAAGTAAATAAGGCCTAAAATATTTGTATTTACATATGACTAGTTGTAGAATTTTTAAATGTATTGCAATCTTCTTAAATAATATTAAGTTATTTCTCTGCTTCACAAAACCACTACAGTGCCTTAGCACTTCAACAATCAGTGGTCACAAGGAAAGGGGATACATGGGCATTGGTAGGCACTGAGTATCTACATTCACGGATGCTTGGATCTAGAAAAGGAAGCAAATAAATAACTTCTGAATTAACTGATTACACTGTAATAAATGCAAAAACAGAGTACTACAAGAGCATCTAACTCTGGGGGAAGGGCTGGGAGAGGGAAATGTACTTAACCACTGTGGAGGAAAAACAAAGACATTACTGGGGACTAAGACCTAAAATATTTACCTTTTTCTCTCTTTTTAAAATTTTTTGGGTTTTTATTAGCAGAAGAAAACATTATAGGCAATGAGTCATGTAAAGGTCTTTATTCTGGAATTGCCCTATTATCAATAATTTTGAATACATGTTATAAAAACATGAATATTTGTATCTTTTCATTATTTGTATATACAATGGACTTTATAATACACAAAAATATTTGTTGGCATAATAATGGCAATATCAGCCTAGTTCAAGATTAACATATTTTACAATAAAAAGTGCTGTATGTTCAATTTTCAGTATTTATTCATACAATAAATTTTTATTGACTGCCTTCTACGTGCCATGTGCTGTGCTACAATTAATTTTTTTAAATCACACACAAAAAAATTCAACAATTTAAAATTCTAATTCAACATTAGTTCTCAGAGATCCCACTTTTAAAGGAAAGCACACACATCTTTGGAATATGTTCCATTTTAAAAGCAGTAAAATGCTAAATTTTAACTAATACTTTGTACTCCTTTATATAGCTATTTCATTGTGAGAAAATACTATGTAGTCCACAAGTATGATTCTTCTAGCCACAGAAAGCAGAGAAAGATATATACAAATACAAGTTCACACACATATTTATTATGGTGTTCTCATCTTTCTTCTTCCTGAGAAAAAAATACTAAAACTTTCTTAAATTATTTTTAGAAATAGTACTCATGGATACATCTGACATGTATACATGGATACAGCTAGATAGTGTCATCTGGAATATAATACAATCTCAATAAATACTTAGAATTTGCTGGCGGGATACAGGAATGATGGGATGGACAGAGAGATGGATAAACTGGAGACGGGAGCTGCTGAATGACTAAGGAGAACAAAGAAATCTTCAACTGAACTACCACTGATTTGCTAAGGGAACCCACAACGGACTCTGGAATATAGGAAAAGATTCTCTCAAATCAAGGCTGAGAAGACTTAATGTAGCAAAAACACAAAGTATATAAAGCTCACATATTAAAAATAAACTTTAGGTGTTTAGTAAAAAAACAAATATAATTAAGGGCCAAGACAGGGACATGAAGATGAACACGCTAAGGATAAGCTTGATTTAAAGGATGGGGGAGCAAAGAGCAGACTAATACGAGTCCACAAGGAGAGTGATGGAGAGCAAGAGCCTGTACTTGGATGATCTCGATTCTATCCCCACTGTGCCGCTTCGCAGGCATGTTACCCCGGCACGCTAAGATGAATGCCGCTCAGCTTCAGTTGTCCCCAACCATAAATCAGAGATAACAATTTCTACATCTTGATCCTGTTTTAGGAGTCTTAAAAACATCAAGGCAAGTTGTCCAGGTCCTGGGCCCTGGGCATATTTACCATTCACTGAACCTCGTGGCCACCGCTGACGTAAACTGCTACTGCTGCTTGTGCCTCTACCCCTACCACCGCCTTCCGCAAACGCAATGACGGATTGTTTACAAGCTGAGAAGAGGCAACTACTGTTACTATGCTTGATTTCAAATATAATTAATATTCTTTACTTAAATATTTATTCACAGCCTATGTACAAGGCACTCTGCTAGGTTCTTATTTTTATGATGATAAATAAAACAGAAATAATCCCTGCCCTCAAAGACTTTTCAGTAAAATAGGGGAACCAGACCATAACAAATAGGCAAACAAACATATAAACAAATTTGAATACATAATATTAAGGAGCAAAGAGAATGTACACTGATATTATAGTGTCCTTTAGACAAAATGCTTAGAAAACGCCTCTCAAAGGAAATGGCATTTAAGCTGAGGTTTGAAGGACAAAAAAGAGCCAACTTGCAAAGAACAAGTGAAAGAACAGTCTTGATAAGAGGTAGGAATGTGGGCAAATGCCAAAGGCAGGAAGAAACTGTCATGCTTATGGAACTGCAAATGTGCAGACAGACCATGGGGACAAAAGGAAGAGTGGCAGGAGATGAGGTTAAAAATACAAGTAGGAGCCACTTTATGTAGGGCTTTCTAGGCAACGTTAAGTTTGTTATTTAAGTGCCACTGGAAAACCCTGTAACTTTTAAGCCAGAAAGTGACATAATTTGATTTTCACATCACACCTTCTGTAAGGGAAAAACAATAAATTTAGATAAGGGATCAAAAGGGGGACAACCGTGGGGCTTCCCTGGTGGCACAGTGGTTGAGAGTCCGCCTGCCGATGCAGGGGACACGGGTTCGTGCCCTGGTCTGGGAAGATCCCACATGCCACAGAGCGGCTGGGCCCGTGAGCCATGGCCGCTGAGCCTGCGCGTCCCGAGCCTGTGCTCCGCAACGGGAGAGGCCACAACAGTGAGAGGCCCGCGGACCACAAAAAAAATAAAAATAAAAAATAAGAGGGACAACCGTGAAAGCAGGAAGCTCAGTTAGGAGTCCTATCACCGATATTCTATAGTGGTGCTACCCAAATTATGTGCGGTTAAGCATAAGGTTTTTCTGTAAACTTTCCAAGGTCAACTAAATAAAATACAGTAACAATGAACAGGTAGAAAACTGGCCATGCACCTGGATGTTGTGCCAGTACTGTACCCTCAATTCCTATCTGTATCTTGTTAGGGACCAGAACTAAACAGGTAATGGACTAATATCAATACTTTAAGATGCACTAGTCTAGAGAAATGCTGGTGGCTTAGACTTGAGTTGTGGCAGTGGAGATAAAGAGAATAGATAAATCTGGAATACAGAAAAGGTAAATTTGACAGAACTCACTGACATATTAGATGAGAGGAATAAGCAAATGTGAAAAATAAAGAGTAACTCCTAAGTCTTGGACTTAAGAAACAGAGTTGATAGCGGTGTCATTTATTCATGAAGAAGCAGAAGAATGTGAAGTAAGACATCTTGGGAAAAATATCAAAGAGCAAAGGTTTTAAGGTTTAATCAGTTTTAAGATGCCTATGGCACATCCAAATGTTGAACAGTTAACAGATGATACCAGAGGTAGGAAGAATTAGGGACAGAAGTTTGAAAATCATCAGCACATAGATTTAAAACTATGGAATGAGGTAATCCAACCAACACCTAGGTTACAAAGTGGATCACTGAACAGGGCTAACTCTCTCTCTCAATCTCACATGAGCAGTAAGCAGATAAACTAGAGTTACAGAGTCATGGGTACTCACCTACCCATTTCAGAAGACCTATGAAACAGAAGTAAAGAATGAAAGCTGGAGAAGTGAAGTATGTGATGTACACGCATTAGAAAGAGGCAGCAAGAGCAGGGATATGTGCAAGAGATTCATGTGGCTATAAAAGGAAACAACATTAAGTTCCAGGACTGTAGCTTATCAAAGGCTTGTGTTTCTTAATTTACTGGAAGGCATGTGCCTCTTGTTAGTTATATTCCCTAAATGAATGTTTAGAAGTTGGGAATAATTGTAAACACTTTAAAATATTAAATTGACCCAGGGACTTGCCTGGCACAATTAGTGCTAAATAAATATTTGATGAAAGAATAAATAAGAAAAAATGATCAAAAATGGAACACCATGGGACTTCCCTGGTGGTCCAGTGGTTAAGAATCCGCCTTCCAATACAGGGGGTGCGGGTTCAATCCCTGGTCGGGGAACTAAGATCCCACATGCCTCGCAGCACCGCAGCACAGCCAAAGAAAAAAAAAAAAGGAACACCATCCTTGAGTTCCTTCACTGAAGGAGAAAAGAGTAGGTAGTTCAGTTCCCTATTTCCAAATAATTCAAACTCTACCTAACAAATAACAGTATAGGTCTATGCTGTCTCATGTACAACGTTACATTGCCAGAAATGTTTTGTGTGGTTTTCTTTTCTTTTCAATTTTAAAAAGATAATCCAGGTGAACATGCCATATATTGCACAATATGCCTTCAAAATTGGGCATCACCCAATAAGCAAATACATTTAACAATCTGCAAAACAAAAATTCACTGATCAAGACAAAGATGACAAACTGCTAACGCCCACTCAAGTCAGGTCTTACTGACAAATGAGCATTAAAAACTTATAAAATAATAAATCACTGCTTTTGGAATGGTGGGTAGGGATTGTGGACCTATGGGAATCAATGAGTAAAAGAAGAGGAGACCTCACATGGATGGGCGTCAGAGTATTTGTTATGAGACATTAGATAAGATTAATTTCAACCATTTTAATCACCATGGCAGAACAATTGAAAAAGAAAGATGGAATATTAGGAGCTGAAAAGACCCACAGCTCCTTACCTCACATGTGACCTTCCCCAGGATCACATAACTAACTAGCTGGTAGAAGCCAGCTCCCTTTGCTTTATTACATGGCACATTTGAACAACCGGGTTTACTCAGGTATTAGTGCCACCCCTACCCCTTTCCTTTGTCTGCCAAATGATTTTGAGAAAATGTGAAATGGAGACAGTTATTTATCACACAGCACAAAGCAGAGTTAGAATCCTCAGGTGGTGATTTCTTCCTTTTTATACCATTTCTGAATTTCTCATGTGATCTTCTTTAGACTGACCAACTACAGCCTGCCATCCCCCCCTTCCAAGGGAAAACAAATAATTCTGTATCTATCATTCAACTGCCTTCACAATATTCCTCTACTTTGCAGGCTATATTCCTTGGGTCCAACTCAGTCTGCCCATTCTTATTTCCTTGACTTTTTTCTTCATTCCTGAAAAGAGCTCCTTTAGCTTCTCCTAGTTTCTGGCACTGCGTACATGGAAGGCATTCAAATAATATTTATTAAATTTAATTGCTCTTCCTTATACTCTCATTAACAGCTTTTGGTATGGTCTTCTCTACTGAAAAATAGTGCCATGGTCCGGTCATCTGAAAGAAATTACATCCAATGTGCTCCAAATTTAACAAAGATTTCAAACAAACCCGTCACTTAAAAAAAAAGTAAACACTAGTCATGTCAAGACCCAGGTTTATGGATCCAAGACACAGTGAAAGAGCCTACAAAACCATCCCAATATAAACCTCTTAACATCATGCTTTTAAAGTGCTTCCAGAAATTTGAATACCTGTAATCTACATAATTTTAGAATTAGCCTATGTGCGAATGTACTATGAATAAAAAGATGTACAAATCTGCACTACTGACACTAACAAACTGAAAAGGAAGATCACCCAGTCAAATTCCTGACTGTGCTTTTTCAATTCTTTTCATTTTCTTCATAGCCACTTTTAACAGCACTGATACTATGCTAAATGTAAAAATAAAACAAATGAACACTAAAATCAAACCTAAAACACCTAAAATGAATATAGCGTTCATATCTACATGCATTTATAAAGATCAATCTTTTTAGGTACTATGAAGAGGAAAAGAAAATACTGCTAACATACTGGGTTGCCAAAAAGTTCGTTCAGTTTCTTCCATAAGATGTTACAAAAATCCGAACAAACTTTTTGGCCAACCCAGTAACTTCAATACTACCCTTGCTTATTAACATACATATTTAAAAAAATGATTATGGAACCTAATATGCTCAATAACACAGATATCTGAAAATCTAAACATCAAAGCTGCTTATCAGTCTATTAAAATTATGGTCCTATGCTTCTGTAGGAAAAAACAAAAATAACATCCACCGTACTATCATGGAATTCAAACAAGGAATTGATGGGGGAATGGGTACATAATAAATAGCTTGTCAAAACATGTTTTTAAAATCTTAAAAACATTTTCTTAAAAATTTTCTTTAACTCTTCAACTATACCTATTTACTCAAGTAAATGTTCTTATACTAGTTTTGAAGTATTTTACATAAAATTTCAATTCCTTCAAAGCATTATACATTATCAAAAATTTTCACTGTCATGATTATAGAAAAAAACAAAAATCAAAAAGTTTTATATTTTTACCTGGTCTTGGTACCGGCTGTGCTGCAGGAGTCTGCGTCTTACGGGCCGAGGCACCCTCCTTTAAAAGAATAAAAATGGGTGTGTTAAAGTTCCTTTGCATAATAAACACTTTCATTTAATTACTGCAAAGAAATTCCATATCTCTCTCAGTCACTCCACTAAAAAAAAAAAAAAAAAGGAAAAACCTCCCCTTATCTTTTATGCTATTGGTTGTGAAGTAGTAAGAGAAATCTTAAGTGGGAATATATTTAAATTGTTACCATTCAGTAGTTATTGTAAGTAGGTAGTATTTTTCAAATACTCAATGATTTGCTTAATTGCTGGCAATTATAATATTCTCAGAAATGTCGTTACCAGTTTAAAAATCAAGTCAATCTCTTTTTCCCTTAAAGAGTCTCTAAATGATACATAATTTCACATTTGAAAGATGAAAGTGTTACCTTGAGTTCATTTTAAAAAATGCAAATATTTCAAATTAAATGCCTTTTAAAATATTCAGGGGAAATAATCCATTTATAAAGATGAGATTTGTTACATTTAAGAGTAGTTGAAAATATCTTAAAAACTGAATAACAAATCTCAACTAATTACTAAGCATGTAATATATACAAGGAAATATGCTATGTATTGAAGTACATCAATTATATACTCAAGAATAAATGCCTCTGAAATGCTTAAAATACTTCAAAAGTTATCTATATTTAGTGCAATAGTTTCAATCATATTCACACTAAATTCTTCATTAAACCATTTTTCTTTACAGAAAGCTACAAGTGTAAATTTCAAAAACAACTAGTAACTCATGGAGATTTTATTCTAGTTGTATTCAAGTGAAGGAAATTTGATAAATATCATGGAAGTTACATAAATCCATAATAATAAAAATCACTACTACAACCACAGGAACATTTCTTTTTAAAAAGCCAAAGAAACCATTCTTTACTGCAAAAAATAATAGCAGCAGAGGCAACTAGCAAAAACTTTTTGGGGAAAAAAGGTACCCGAAGACAGCAGAACATCCTTTTCCAATATTTTCACTGTTATGCATTTAGTTATACATTGTGTGGTTGAAACTGAGTCACTCTGGATGCTGGTTTCATGGATGTGTTAAGTTTGTGAAAATTTGTCAAGCTTTCTAATGGTATGGTCATTACACTACAAGTAAATTATATTCAAGTAAAATTTTAAATGTAAAGAAAGTGAGTTATTATTAAGGTGGAGAGCATATTAAACATTTAACTTCATTTAACATGCTGAAATTTCTGATTTATATTTTTCTCTAAGTTCATGTTAGGGGACACAACGGCTTTTACTCCTCTTTGTAAATCTAGTACCTAAAACACTCAACAAATGTGTGTCATATTGAACTGAGTCTAGACTTTTAAAAATCAGAAGCCAAGGGATAATCATTAAATAGAAATTAACTAGACATTATATAATAAAATAACAAGATTAAGCTTTAACCATATTACTTTTAAATCCTTATATGTAAATACAGACTCACTGGGTATGGTTTAAGTACACAGAGAAGGAAGAAAAATAAAGGAAATGAGACAGGAAAAACAATGAGTACACACATGTGGAGACCTCTTTCTGTCTGCATTTGACTATAAGGCTGGTTGAATCCAAATCAAAGCCCTCTTCACCTGAACAGAGTAGACTTAGATCAAAATCACTAGAATACAGCACTAGAATGGAAAAGAAAAGTCTTTTGCATTACAAATTATTACCCTTAAGTATTTCTGTCTACAAAACTAGACCCCTTTAAATATCAATAATGGGCATTTTATGTTTACCAAGTAAGAAATCTTTGCTTGATGACCCCTTCCCATTCCAAATCATTCCTTTTGGCAATAAGCCCCTGGTTCCTGGTCACTGGGCAAGACATATGTCCTGGGCTAGGTCTATTGAGAGTTCTTCTTTGATATGTGTTTTATAAATTGGAGCTCGCCAGTCACAAGGCTATAAGGAGGTTAAGTCTAAAATTACAGATAACCGTGTCTCTTGACCCATGGAGAAAACCCATCTGCAGAAGGACATAATGAAGTTACTGTTAGGGAAAACACTGACTGAAACCACCCACCCTGGCCAGGCAAGGACAGTAACAATTTGCATGAGTTATTTTATGACAGAAGATCCTGTAAGGAACATGGAACTAACAAGACACCACCAACAGGAAGAATATGGGAAAGGTCAAGAGGACAGAGAAGATGCCAGTCCACATGTCCTACCAACCTCCCAGAATCCTCCTCACTGGAATCCATCTTGGCTGAGCGGTTCCACGTGCCACCAGAAAGGACCCTGTGTCAGAATGATTGGCCAGAGACAACCTGGAAACTAATCCCATCACCATAAAACCTGAAATTGCAAGCCACGTGGGAGAGCAGTCCTCCTGGGTCACCTTACCCTCCTGCTCTCCGCCAGGACGCCCCTTCCCAATAAAGTCTCTTGCTTTGTCAGCACGCGTGTCTCCTCGGACAATTCATTTCCAAGTGTTAGACAAGAGCCCACTCTTGGGCCCTGGAAGGGGTCCCCCTTCCTGCAACATTACCAGCATACAAGAAAACACATGGAATACAATATCCCTCATAATATCTGGCCTGTAAGACCTATTCTCCTGCTAACTCTTCTTGATTCTAAGAGCCATTAAAATCCCTCATCTCATTCTATGCACCCCACACAAACAATTTTTGTCTTAACTAGTTGAGAAGAATCTGTTAATTGCAACCAGAAGAGTTATCTAATTTTGTTTTCTCAGATTCACTGAAAATTCTGAGTTGCCAAAAGTCACTATAGTATAACTTTGCTTAATTCTGAAGTAAACACACACAAATAAGCTCAAACGCACACGATCATACACAGCTATGACACTTCAGTAGGCTGTGGGCTCCTGGAATGAAAACCGGGAGACTTTCACTAATCACGTCGTTAGTTCATGGCCATTTCTAGGACGCCCTAGCCAATACTAAGAGCTAAAAGCTCATTCTACTCTGACCTGCATTATTTTGAAATAAATTTGTATAAGTCACTGCATAAAGGACCTCAGAAACCACACAGTCCAATCCCAGTACCCTTTACTCTAAAGATGAAGAGACAGAGGTGAAATAGTTTTTCAAAGGCTACATAGTGGTATATCTGGCATATATTAAGAAACAGAAATAATAATTGGCAGTACCATGGAGTAAACCGACAGTTCTATATTTTTAAAGATATTTGGATTGGGGGGAAAATACTACTCAGCTGGGAAAAGAAAAGTAACAGCACAAAAACAACTAAAAGAGCTGACAAGTTGTGCCAACTGGAGAGGAAAACCTGCTTTCTCTTAAAAAGTCAGAATCATTACAATTTCACTAAGACTTGAGGCATTCTGGAAAAGAAGTAACTGATAAAAAGGGATGGGGGAAATAGTGATAGAATCATATTTGCAAAATGTAACAAGACAAAAACAAAGTAAACTGTTTACAGTCCTTCCTTGCCTTCTTTTAGCAAATGAGATAACCTAAAATCTTCTGGTATTGGGAGACAGAACAGTGGTATTTGCTGCTTAAACAAGTAGAAAATAAAACCATAATATAAAATATCATAAGAAAGAATATTTGTTACAAGTATCAGTATGCAAAATATACTATATTTAATTTTGAAAATTGCTATTTATATGAAACTTAATGAAATACTGAAATTGCTTAATGAGGAAAACATACAGAATATATATGCAGATTCTAGGAGTTTATAATCTACCTCTTTGACTACTGTACTTATGAGAGGAAAAGTAATATGTTTTAAAAAGTAATCAAATACTAATTTACAGTTGCATGTTTTTTCTTTTTAAAAAGTAACTCATTCCCATGAAATCTGGATTTGATATTCAGAATTCTCAAGTATCAGGATTTTTTTCTTTCAGCAACTGAATTTTTAAGTTCACTGAGTGAGTCTTCAAGTATTTTGGAAAAACTATGTACAAAAAGGAAACTGCAACTCTGAGCAAATCACAATGAGGCTGAAAAGCACTAAAGGTTTCAGGAACAAAACACTTCAACACAAATTTTAAGTAGACTTGTCATAACCTGGGGGCATATGTATACAATGTTTGCCAATACAGAAAACAGCTGACACATTTATAAAATATAGTATAGTATATCTATACAGGCATGCCTCAGAGATACTGCAGGTTTGGTTCCATACTACTGCAGTAAACTAATATCACAATAAAGTGAGTCACAAAATTTTTTGGTTTCCCAGTGCATACAAAAGTTATGTTGACACTATACTGTAGTCTATTAAGTGTGCAATAGCATTATGACTTTAAAAAATGTACATGCCTTAATTAAAAAAAACTTTATTGTTTAAAAATGCTAGCCATCCTCTGACAAGGCAGGGTTGCCACACCTTCAATTTATTTAAAAAAAAAAAAAAAAGCAAAGCACGTAGTATAATAAAACGAGGTATGCCTGTTAAATATATAGATTTGATACCTCTATCAAATTTCTCATTATGCTATATAACTACTTGTCTACTTCTTACAACCAGACCATCAATTACTTGAGGTCAGGGACTGTCCATCACATGTCCAATGCCTGTTATAGAGAGCCTGATGCATGGTATATATGCTTAATAAATATACATTAAGTAATTAATTAAAACAAATCCATACCTTAGCATTACTGATTCACTAGTGTTATACTGGTTAAACTGCTTTAATCTGTTAAATGAAGATGGTAAAAATATCATAAAAGATTACTGAAACAAAATTTATTTATTCATTCCACATACTTTCACTGAGAGCATCAAGTACCAAACAAGAAACTGGGAATGCAGCAGTATAAACAGAAGCCACGTGGTCCCTGCCCTTATGAGATTGGCAATCTAATGGAGGAAGCCAGTGACTGAATAAATGAACGAAGAGAAGTTGAAAAATTAGAAATATAATTACATATGTACTTAATTATTCATAATGTGCATATATGTGTATTTGTCTGTAAGTGTGTATGTGTGTATTTGTCTGTGTGTATGTGTGTATATGTCTGTGTGTCCAGCTCACTGCCCCAAATAAAGAGAGAC